TTTTTTTTTTTTTTTTTTTTTTTTTTTTTTTTTTTTTTTTTTTTTTTTTTTTTTTTTTTTTTTTTTTTTGTTCTTTCAGATTGCAGAAGAGTGAGAGAGGGACTGATATGATGAAAGCTTAAACGAGAGAAGAGGTTAAAGGAGAGAGAAAAAAAAGGAAATATCTGCAGGAAAGAATTGGTTAAGACGAATCAAAACACAGGGAAACATCACAACTTCAGCCTTTCCCCATTGCTGGCTTAAGTTCACCCATCATTGGACGCCCATTTCCCCATCGCCTTGGATGAAATTTATGACGTCTCAGAGGTAGGCGATGGCGGCGACCTGTCGGAGGAGGATTGAAGGAGAGAGTAAGTATCCTCATCAGCAAGAACAAATAATACGAAAATGGTTTCATTTTCTTTATTATATTTCAATCAGAAAATTTAATTGGAGCAGTAAATGGTTGTATTTTGCGTTTCTTGTTTCTTTTTTGCCTCTTCATCTTGATAAAATGGAGTATGTAATAATATTAATAAGTAATTTGGAGTAGTAAAAAACAAATATTAACCGGGAATAGTTTGAATTAGCAAGTAAAAAAAAATTACAAAAGAATTCTTACCAACATCCATGGCATTAACCCCCCACAAACAACCCTAAACACAATAAGCCACACAATCTATCTATACTTACACTACTACTACTTCCCACAATAACAACAGGAAATTGAGGAGATTCCCATTTCCTAAATTCAATATTCAAGGGAACTGAAACTTCATACGATCTTGTACCCCAGATGGAGGACTAATGTAGACCCATAGCAGCGAAATTATGATCGATAGAAGCCCCGACCATACATAGACTATCGTCGGGACTCGGCCGCGACGCCCCATCAGCCCTTTGGCGAATGGGTAGAGATGACACAGAACCCAGAAGCTGAAGAACACTCCCCCCACGAGCTTGCTCCATTCTGGAAATGGACTGTACAATGTCTTCGCAACTCCCACTGCAATGGCTATCATGTTCACCAGCATGATTGTGATCGGAGGGATCATCAGAAAGCTCCACTTCACGACGTATAGGTCTGCAAATTCGTCATCTCCATCCTCCGGTGTGGCTGATTTGGATGTCAATGTGAATGAGATATCTACTCCTGCTATGACTTTCAGCAGGCCTTGTAGCACGGCGGCTGGGTGGGCGCTTGTCCCGCCAATTAGCCAGAATTGCTCGTTTCGCCACCAATCGTGGATTGTAATGCCCGACCACTTGATCTCGAGGATGGCGAGTAAGCACAATGTGATTGTGATGGCTAGTAGGAAGATTAGGAATGTCACACTGAGGGATTGGACTATGAACTGCCCTGAAAACAGAGAAACTGCAGGCAAGAAGCAGTAGACAAGGAGGAAGAAGGAAGTGAAAGGGTACATCCCAACATTGAAGTATGCTACTCTTTGCAAGAACTTCATTCTACGCGTTGCGAACAAGGCGTTGTTCCTTGAGAAAAAGATCTCGACCGATCCTGTGGCCCATCGGAGCACTTGGTGAAGCCTGTCAGTCAAGTTGATCGGAGCTGTGCCTCGAAAAGCATCGCGCTTGGTAACACAATACACTGATCTCCAACCTCTGTTGTGCATTCTATAACCAGTTACCACATCCTCTGTTACAGAGCCATAGATCCATCCTACTCTTTTCCCCCACTCTGTCTTGTCTTCATAGAAGCAGGAAATAACACTGATGGCCTCAGCAACGGTGGCGGCGTCTAAAGGTTCCCGGGGCACGGCAAGAGAACCAGCTGGTCGACCCTGATTGCCCTTGCTTTGTAGTTCTTGAAGCAACCTTCCTTGAAACTCTGCAACAGGAATTGATGCAGCCAGAGAAGTAGAGTTTCCGAATCGCTTCGGCATAAGCAAGGACTCAATATCTGCATCATCATCGTCACAATCTAGACTGCCTCCATTGATTGGAGCGGCCATCTCATCGTCTTCCTTCTTTGATACCCTGGACTTTCTTAGTAACAGCTTACTTTTTCGAGTACCAAACCAGCCATGGTGCTCTGTAGCTCTAGGAGGACTAAACCCATACAAAGCTGTCCTCCTGAATATGCAGCCAGTCCCCACATACATAGGCCCCTGCAACCCATCAAGAGCTCTCATACTAACATCAAAAAACACAGTATTATGATTCGCATACCGATCATTCGGGTCGATCCCCTCGAATCTTTGCGGGAACTGAACATAACAAATCCGATCACCGCCCCTGTCCAGCATAAAACACATCCCTTCTCGTAGAGCCAAGGAGTTGTATATGTAGTGATCACAGTCGAGATTGAGAATGAAAGGCCCATTCGACATGATTGCGCTGGTTCGAACAAGAGCATTCATTGCTCCCGCCTTCTTGTTGTGATCGTACCTCGGCCGCTTCTCACGAGACACATAAACTAGCATTGGCAATCTGATATCCACCTCTGTTGTGTCAATCAAATTCTCCCCATCTGCTTTTGAACCATAAACTGGTTCTGCATTAGAAGGAGCTAGCATAGCCTGCAACAAGTAAAAGATGAACAAAAACATCTTAGCTTTCCTTTCGAGTTTTCGCAAACCGTTCTTCGATATACCAAACAACTTACCTGAATTATACCAGCATGATCTCCTCTGGAGTGATCAGTATCAGCTGATACCCAAGTTCCAGGCCAGTAAGAGCCATCGGACATCCAAGTTGCCTTAGAGATCTTGATTTGTTCTGAAGGATTGCTACCCATTTCCATTTGTTTCATTTTGGCTCTAAGTTCTTCATGGGCATTATAAGCATCTGATCTTCTCCTTATAGACTCTGGCAATGAGTTTATCCTCACCTTGAATTCATCATACTCTCTCTTCACCATTCTCCTCTCTCTAACAAAATCAAGCCTCACTTTGTTCTTAAGAAAGTCACGCTTCTGTCCGAAGTACGCCTCCGGATTCCTCGGCTCAATTCCGTGCTTTCGACAGAACGGAACCCACACTCTTGCAAAGCTGGCTGTCTCAGCTAATGCTTCGAATGTCAGGAGAGAACCACCATCATCTGATAAGTAACAAGCCAGTTTCTCCACAGGGTAATCCACAGCAAGGATTGAGAGAATTGTGTTGGCTGTCACAAGTGGTGGTTCTTTCTCAGGATCCGCAGTCGATACAAACACATCGATTCCCGGAAGATCGGATCGACCCTTCGGGTTTCGAAGATTCGGCGACTCGAATCGATCCTTGAGAACAGAGAGGTCGGTTACTCTGTTTACAGGACAGAGCTTTGGAAGTTGATCTAATAGCCAAGATAATGCAAACCAGAGCTCACAAGTAATGGACATTCCCCATAGCCACATTGCTTCATGATTTGGATGTCTAACTCTCCATGTTAGAAAGAATCCAAGTGCTACTAGACGGATTATAATAAGCAATCTGCCAAAAGAAACACAACCCTTTAGAAACAGAGCACATTAAATCAAACATCATAAGTTCAAAAATCAATACAAAATCACCTGTACGGGCTTAGAATGGCAGCAGAAACAGAGACTTTCCGGGTTAAGGGCCGCCGGCTTTTCACCCCGAAGTCGGGTGGCTGCTCGAAACCATTCGCCCCAGAGCCGAACCCATAACCGTCCTTTGGCCACACTGCATTTCCATAGCCATATGTCCCCTTGGTCTCAAAAAGCCACCGGGCATGATCGAAGTCCGGTGGGTGATTCTGAGCTTTGAATGATTTCACCAAAGACAGCCTTTTGTCAAACTTGGCATCTGCCATTGAAGGCAATGGCAAAGCTTGATCCTCTGCTTCATCATCACTAACACTTCTGTAACTCTCTTTACAACCAGGACAACGGCCATCGCCATGGCTAACACACTCCAAATAACAATCCCTACAAATGTTGAACCCACAATCACATGGAACCGTCGTCTTCCCTTTCAGAGCCTTTTCATCACAGCCTCTCATCCCGCAAACAAGCCCCAATTTGATTGGCTCAGTCGGGTTCGCCAGTGACTCTATCACATGCCCACGAGTCACCGAATTGAAACCCCCAGTGAAAAGAGTACCAGAAATGAAGCTACTCTGCGGCTTCCCCATATTTGAATTCTCCCCAGGGAGGCTTGCTTGAGAGTCAGAAATCGACTGGTGATCTGGGGTTGGAGGAATATGAACAGTGTAAGTAACGAACTCAGAGTTACTTTCTTCAACCGCCTCATCTTTTGACATGGAAACGAACTTTCCGCCACTCGACCGGCGGTTTCCGCCGCTAGAGGCTCTGTTTCCTCTGCAACTAAGAGGGGAATTTGGGTTATTTGAAATCGAAGCACGCGAAATCGGACTCGTTAAGCCCATCGATATAATTCCATTGCCGGTTTTACTTCCCGATGAGATGGTTATCTTCACCGGAGAAGACGACGGAGAGGAAGCCCTGTTCACCATTTTCTCAGTGAAAACGAACAATCAGAGCCTGTAAATTTTCCCGAGAAAACTACTATGACCGAGAAGAGACACAGAAAAATCAAGGAGAAGGAAAATTGTTAAGAATCCATTGCAAGCTATGGCGAATTTGGAAGTGGGGAAGAATGAAGAAGAAAGGACGCTTGTTCATGGGGGTTTTGAGGAAAATGAATGGCAGTTCATTCAACGGCAATATTTGCTTTAGATGATAAAAAGCAGAACATTGGGGCTTGGGGGAAAAAAGAGAATTTGAATTTTAACGGTCGAGAGATCTGGACCGTAGATTTGATGGGATCCTACGGGCCGTTCTGACCAAAACGGTCGAGTTGCTGGAAAGTAATAAAGTTTTTTTTTTAAAAAAAAAAAAAAAATTTAAAAAGAAGGGCAGTAAAGTCAAAGAAGATTGAGAAGTATTTAAAAAAGATTTTATATTTTTTGAATTTAAAAATGCATATAATAACGTCATGATTTAATGCAGGGGATACATTTTCGAACCTTGTGGGGCCCACTCAGATATTAAAAATCTGTCATGCATTTTAAATTTACATTATATCGGTGTTTATTATCTTAAAATTCATTTCATTATTTTACTACCTACTATCTTTTTTCCATGTTACTCTATGCAATATCTGATATGTGTATAATTTAGTGATTAATTATATAATTAATTAATTACTTAATTAAAATAAAAGGCTTCTCGAACATAATTATAAAAAATATACAAAATTAGAACATTATGAAATAAATTCAAATATTTATAAAATACTTATATTAAATACAAAATTTGAAATTTGAAATTTGAAATTTGAAATTTGAAATTCAGTTTATGATTTAATATAACTTTTTTTAATCAAGCAATTGCATACTGTGTAACGTTCAAACATTTAAAACTTTGTAGTAACGTTCAAATATTTAATGTTTAATAATCATTCAGCAAGTATTGAATCAAAATAAAAATAAAAAACAGAATCGTCGCCTGAGAGATTCGAACTCTCGCGGGGAAACCCCATGTACTTAGCAGGCACACGCCTTAAC